ATCTATTATCAGTATCAATGATAAAGTATACATAAAATCCTATCACTGCGTTCACCAAATGTCTTTTTGGTCAATTTTGAATATGACATATTTTTGATACAAAGTAATTTTGATGGATATAAATATAATTGCGTATATTACCGAGTTAAATATATTAAAAGTACTTGTAACTCGATAGTTTCGTGTGGCAGTCTCAGAAATTATTCATGACGATGAAATGTCACTTAGCATTGAATCAGAGCATAGGCCTACTCTATCAATTTCATAATCTCTGCGCAAAAAACTTTTTTCGAGTTGTTTTGTTACCAAATCTATTTTTGGACCAAGTTCACCCACGCTTATACCACTTACAATGGCTTGCATTGTTGTGTTCAGATATTCCCACGACGGTTACCACTTAGAACAGTTGCAACAACAAAATGTTTCTGTATGAAATGTTGTTTTAAGCTCACTCTGTAAATAGCTCATTAATTGCTCGAAACTTTACTATAATAATCTTACCACTAAGTTACTTCATAATCGATAAAATTGTAATATATATATACTTTGTAAATAATATAACTTTGCAGTTTAATATTTAGAATTTTTTAAATATTAGTTGTAGCAATTTTTTTACTTCAAAATTGTGACTTAGGAAGACATTTTTACGTTTCACCATAATTAACAAACCATTTTAAATTTATATAACAACTTAGTATATATTTGCTATTTTACTATTATTATTAATTTGCATCACTCATTCTCTTGCAATTACAATAAATGCCAAATCATGCTAAGCCTGCAATTTCTTCAGATTTAGTTGAAAAATCATAAACGTTTTCATTTAAATGTAGATTTTTATAAATTTTCTTTTTCAGAAAAATAAAATAATTCTGTGTATTCCATGTATTTCATAGAGGGGGAAATGTTTCCTCTTGGTATTTTTCTTTTTCATAATTCCTCTTATTACTATAAATAAACTTCAATAAATTAGAATTAAAATTAAATACCATATAAAAGTTCACATATTTAATTTAATAAATGTATTCTATCTTTTAAAATAACATCTGTGAACTACTCAAAGATCCTGGTTGATTCAACTTCATTTAAGTACTTTAGAAGTATCTAAAGTAGTTTATATTCTCTTAAAGTAACAATTCTTGTCACTTATCATGAAAAAATTATTATTAAAATTATTTTTTTATTTTATTTTTATTTTATTATGGGATAAGTAGTAAAATATTTTAAACTTTCAATTAAAGAAATGCTGTATGTGTTGAAGATAGTCACAAAGAAAAAGTGCATTAGAGATTACATCTCAATATCCTGTCATATGACTGAAGCAAAGGGTTTTCCATATAGAAAAACTTCTAGAAAAGCTATTCTGCAAACAAAGGAAGTGATTTTTCCATTTATTTTTTAAGAAATAATATTTGTTATCAATTAATAAATTGGAAATTTTATAAATAGTTTCAATTTATTTTTATTTGATAATAGAAAACTTCGACGACGAAATAAACTTTTGACACTCGTAAAGATTTTAAAAAATTCAATAGATTGTTATTAATAAAATACTAAATTTTTCACTGATATTTTAACTACAGATTCAGTACTTTACGTTAAGATAAAAATCATTTTTTAGGAAAGAACTGAAAAATATAAATAAAGTAAATAAGAAATAAAACACACAATTTATATATTGAGTAAAGATTTATAAAAAAATAAAATATTTTTACAAATAAAAATATTGAATACATAGGATTATAGTAATGAAAGAAACATTAAAAATTATGCTTAATCATTTTCTATCAGCTGTTGCTTATATAAAAGTTTATATAATCTAACGTAATTTAACGCTTTGTAGAAATAACTTGCAAGCATTTCAGTTATTTAAATAAATAAAATGTCGAATTAATTTTAAAATATTTTTAAATAGACAACTAAAATCATATTCCGTATTCTTGGAAAAGGTGGAAGAAGTGAGACAAAAGAGAAATAAATGAATTTTCCGTGAGGAAATTCTAAATAGGCCAACAATGTACAGTACGTCTAACATTTTCCGTTTCCGCTTTGTTTTCTTCGAAGTTTAGTCAAAATTTTCGAATTTCTTTAGTTTAATGAATCTATAATTAAGTCTATTGTGAAATTTAAGTTAATTGTGTTTATTATATCAAATATTACTATTTAATCTTATAACGTTATTTAATTTTAACTTTATAAATTTATACAGGAATACAGTATTTTCTATTGACGTAATAATTCAAATACAATACATAAACATAAATTATATACTATAACTATTTCGTAATATAATTGTCGTAACGTAAAAGTCGTTATCTGATTTTACTTAAAAGAAAATAAATCTGATTTCGATGTTTCAGTGCTTATTACTTATATATTTGGTGTTAATTTATATCAATGAAATAAAAATGGGAGTAAGAAAAGCTATTCTTAAAAAAATTGAAGAAGTTTCCTTGACTCTTCATTCATATAATTGAAAAGTCATCCGAGAAATAATTAGGAAAAGTGTTACCGAAACGTGTCGCTTCGTAATCTGTTTTGAAGTGGTCCAATTATCGAAGGAAGCAATTAATACGGTCGCGATCTTATTTTTCTGTCCCAAGGTGCGATGGGCCAATCCCTTCTGGCGCCGGGCGAGTTCCTTTAAGACACTCCGAACTCAGCCAAGGTTGACAGTGATGCTGTCCAACTGCCCTCCGGTTTGTTAGGGTGTAGCTGACGTCAAAAACAGACCAGCAAAATGCAAAGTTGATGTTTTTTCACCCACACCTTCACAATACTAATGTCTGTGTATCAGAGACAGCTTGAAAGAGGCCATTCATTGTCATGTCTCCGACAGCCGATGCAGTTAGGCACCGAGGCGCCTCTCGGCTCAACATATCTCCATCCGTCAAGTGTGTTTAGTTGCAGCGATTCGCTTAAGGAATCGCTTACGTTTCGTTATTATTATTTACGAAAATAATAACTGATCGCCTGCATCTTTAAGAACCTCATTCAGGTAGGAAAGGCGTATTTTGACTCTCTTTACTTTGTTATTCTGTAAAAAACGTCCTGAAAGCATTTTTGCTTTCGTTTGTCTGTTAATTGACTCGTCTTCTTTTAAAATAGTTTGGACAATTAGCAAAGTTCTGTAAAGTTATTCAGAAAATTCAACTAAACTTCTTTGATATTTGTATCAGTAGAACTTTACTTAGGATTTAAGTAACTTAATACTTTGTGCTAGTGACAACTAGTGATTGAAAGATGCCCGGGATGAAACTTAATCCGAGGATAAAATTAGTCGCAATTGCTGAGTCGTAACCGCGTGGCTCCAGTTTGACTAATTGACAAACTGAAATCGGGCATTAAACGCTCATCGACAATAGATGCCCGAGCCGGTACTGTTTTATCTCTATTATATAACTAACTAACAAAACAAAATTCAAACTTTTATTCCAATTCCGACCGATTTGTTCTCTAAGAAATACTAAAAATCTTAGAATTTTCGGCGACTTCCTTAAAGATTAACGGATATGGGGCTACCCATAGTACCTCGCGAGGATTGTACTTCCTGCTGATTAATCGATCGAATAGCTCATTAAGTAGTGAGTCAGAACACAAGTGGTGAGTCCCAATAACATCTTTAATAATACAACTAGCTTCTAAATATTTCAGGTTTAAAAATTTTTATTCGGTCGCTATTTTAACATTGTATATATCTTTAGATCATTTTATATCATAAATAAACACATAGTATTAAAATTAATTTCCTTAATTATGATTTAATTTTTATCTTATAATTTAAGTCAATTGATTTTAAACTTTTTAAGGATTGTTGTATGATTTTTATACTGCTTAACGAGTACGCAATTTAAAATTTATTTCATTTAAATAACGAAAAATTAAATAAATTTTAAATACTGTACAGACACATTGCAATCTTCGGATATTCACAATGTTTGAATCTAACTGTCAAAACTTTTTCGTAATACCTGTAAATATCCTTTTTAGCACATTCAAAGAATTGGAAAATTGATAACATTGGTTTCACAGTGAATGCCCTTATAACACTTTCAACTTATTCAGATAATTGGGAGAATTGATATTATCGGTCATTACACGAATGGGGTGTAGCAGCAGCTCCGATGTCCTTTCAGCGCAAAGTAATTGGTGATATAGGGCATAACATGAAAATTATTTTATTTGTGTCGGTTTTACATCGTTGAAATTCTCAAAATAGGATACGACTTTAACTGATTCTGTACGGCTTTGTGAAATTTTGAATTATTAATTTCATTGTTTATATAGAGAAGCTCGAATTTCTTTTTCTTTTTTCGGATATTTTCATTTGTATTTCTACTAGATATTTTTCTGAAGAGTATTTAATCCACTTGTTCGAATGAGTTAAGAAGTTTTAAATAACATAATCGCATTTTAAATATTAACCAATATTTGCATTTAATTTGGTCTCGTATTTTAGAAATTTAAAGCAATTTAAAAATTATTTTTGAAGTCTACCGTTTAAAAGGATTTACTGTAAAACCGCCTTTTAGTGTCCGGTTTCAAGTAAACAAGATTAATTTCACGCAGAGTTATTCAATTACTATTGACATAACTATCGTACTACAGTCCCTTACAAATAGAACTGTATATTCATCGACGTAAATCATTTTATATCGTGAGATCTTAGTTATATCAATATTGTAAAATGACATTTTTTTTATATTCTTGATATCTAAGTTCGGGCGTTGGATTTTACATGTTATTGTTTGCTAATAAACAGAGACAGACGGAAAATCTTCTATCGATTCAATAGAACGCTTATGCACTAATACTTTTTTTGCTAAGATAATTTTTTTTCATATTCTCAAGAAATTCATTCATTAAATTAGGCTGATGTCTATTCTGGTTCATATTAAGTATCTTTTATTATTGTGTTGATATATTCCATATTATGCAAATTTAAGTTTACCTAACTTAAAGTTTATAATTTTAAGTCTTACGCCTTTTTTTATTTTCAGAATTATTTTATGAAGAAAAGTTTTCTTCGTTTATTTGTGCATTGTGATTTGAATCTGGAAAGATAAATGCTATGAAGTTATACATATCTATAAAGAAATTAATTTGCATCTTGAGCGTTTTTCCCATCTTATATTTATGTTCCGCAGAACTTAGAAGAACATTTACAAGTGAAAAAGGCGAGTCGTTTTCGAAGCTTCTTATTCATAAAGATTCAGTGTATGTCAGTGGTAATAATGAGATTTATAAATTGAATTCGGATCTTGAGAAAACACAAAAGTTGGAAGGCAGACCCTGCCAAGAACAAACGAGCGACGAAAGAAATGACATTACAGTTTTGCTAATGTACAAGTACACCAAATCTGATTTACTATTGAGTTGCGGCACGGCTTGCAGAGGAAGATGCAAATTACATTTGGAGACAGATATAGTGAAATATAGATGGATCGGAGATTTCAACGATAATCTAAGTTATGTGGCAAGTCGCGATTCAACCGTAGCATATTTTGCTCCGGGACCTTTTAATCTCAACTCTCTCTACGTCGCATCCACATACGATAACAGACCTTTAGACCAGTCTCCAGTTTCTGTATCAAGTAAAGCGATAAATTTTACACGAAATACAACGCAGAGTTTTACTTTCGTTTATTCGTATCATTCGGAATTACAATCGACATCAGTCGATTTTCATCAATCGTATAAGAAAAGATATATAGTGAATTATGTCTACGGCTTTAGTTACGAAGGTTACAGTTACTTTTTAACTCGTCAAAAAGTAAGTTTGGAATCGCAAAGATACGAAACGAGGTTGGTTCGAGTATGTCAGAAAGATACTGCATTCTTTTCCTATACAGAAGTTCCTTTAAGTTGTCATAAAGGATTGGATAAATATAATTTAGCTACGACTGCATATTTAGGAAATGTCAGCAAATCTCTCAAGAAAAGAATGAATTTAAATCAAACGAAAGATGTCCTTTTTATAGTTTTTGCTGCTACTATTAGTGATCACGAGAACATGATTGACAGAAACAAAGGATCGGTTATTTGTTCGTTTCCGATGTCACAAGTCGTCGGATTTTTCAAAACCGCCGTGGAGAAATGTTTTAAAGGAGAACCCAGAACTCATTTGTTAAAAGTAATTACCGGTAATCATATCGACTGTAAAAAACAGGTAAGTCTAATTATCATAACATCATTTTTTTTAGTTCTTAATTTTTTCTATTCAACATTGTTATATAAAATATTATAGCATTTGTATCTATAAAACTAAGAACTGAATTGACATTAATTGTAAGAAAAGTTTGGTTTAATAATAAGATAAAGTAAATTAAAATTACGGTAGACCTATTTGCAAGTTATATTTTCTTATAACAACATTATTTAGGTTAAAACTTCCTTCAGATTGATTGTCATAAATGTTTAAATGTTTTATAAAACATCTCAAGGACAAAATTAGAAAATGTAATTTATATTTTATTTTATTTAACAAATTCTCTAAAGTAACTATATATATAACTTTTTTACCAAACAATTTTTCAATAACAAAATTGATATATTTTTTTTATTTAAAATTTAATCGTTATTCAAAGAAATGTATTTAATATAAAATGACATTGAAAAACTGATAATACGCTTTGATTTCAGAATATTCTCGGATGATACAAAAAACTCTCATAAAAAATACCTTTTCTCTGGTTTAAGATGTTATCTTTGGGTTGTGCTAGTCAATTTATGAGCTTTGTTGACACTGCCCGACAGCTCATGACCGTTAAGACAAAAAGTTGTCCGGAAGATGCATTATTTCTATGTGTGGGCTCATAAATTAGTCGAGTTGGGTGGTTAATATATCCATTAACCTTTCTCTTCCCTCTCTTTTCCTCTATTATATCCGTTTATAATGTATACAGAGACGAATTTCTACAGCCTATTAATTAATTGTATATCTTTTTACAAATATTACAAGTGTTAATAAAATAATAATAATTTACTTCTAAGCTTCCTAACAACATCCAAATAAATAAAATATGAAAATTTTAAATTTAAACTTACTATTTTAATTATGAAAATTATTTTTCCAGGATATAGATATTAAAGACGATTTTTGTGGATCACAGTTGAATCATTATATAGAAGGAATGGAAGCAATTCCTGGAGGATTTAGAACTCATGTTAATAAACATGTAACATCTCTGGCTATCACCTTACAAAAAGAAGAAACTGTTGCGGTTCTAGGTTCTGATGATGGTTATGTTATAAAGGTGTGCTTAATATTTTAATAATTATTTTAATTTAAAATACAGTATTTTAGTAACTAATAAAAGGAACTATTAATAACATAATGGAGTTTTATTTGCAATTATATCTATTTTAAAAAAATTGGGAAAATTGGATGTGTGTGAATTTATTGAAAAATTTAATCATGCATAACATATGTTGTTTTACATCCTCGTTTTTTTAAAGGAAGGAGTAGGTTTCAATATGAATGGAATCCATCAACCAAAACTCAAGGGATAATAATTCTGGAATGAATTTAATTATGTTACCAATTCCCTTTGGATAATTCAGATCATTTGCAATTCTTCACTCTGTTCTTAGCATAATGTCATGGCAAGGAGAAACAGATAACCCTTTTAAGTCCTGCTCTGTATCATCTGGCAGAGAATCCATCAGCGAGAATTAGTTTGCTGCATATTTTATTCATCCGGGCCTGACATGATCGTGTCTGACTACTTAATCAATGCATGGTACACGATGCTATGACATTCAGTGGGCGAAAAATTGTCATCCTTTGTGCCCACGCTATTAGTACAAGTTGGTCGAATGTGTTGGTGGCTATAAACACAATGACAGTAATGACTCCAAAGACGAAGACCAGATTCACCAATGGAAGCACTTGACCTTTCACTAACCTAAGATTAAAATGAATCCTCAAGAGATTGATGATTTAAAAATATTGGGGCGATATTTATAATTGAACTATCATGTTGATGCAAGCAATATTCTAAGCTGATTTTCAATTATTATGATTGTTCGATCAATTTTATTTTAAATCATACATAATTGTTGAAATAAAGGAGTAAATAAGAAGCAAACTACATATTAATAATTCCTATTCATAGAAAAATTGGATCTTTAAATTACAACGGAACGAGAACGTCAGATTGATATGAATCTTGTTTCACCATATATTTATTGTTTATTAGAAATTAAGTGATTCTAATTTCCTGTTATTTTGAATCACTGTATAATAATTTTCGATATTTAGGATGTCCTGTGTAAAACAATTACCCAATAAGGCAACTGAAATGAATGAGCAGAATATAAAAATATTCTAATCAGCGCTATAACGAGACAGGTGCAACCGGTACTACACCATCACAGGATCCAGAACAAAGGGGGACCTAAAATGGGGTATTAAAAATGATCAGTATTATATTTTTATTTTCGAATTTTAAATTTTGCAGCGGTGGGAGCCGATTCCGTAACGTTTTTGGTTAAAGTTAAAAAATTACAAACCATTTCTATCTTATTTGTTTTTTTATATTTTTTTCCTTAAAAAAAAGAGGTAGCCAAAAATAAAATCTTACACAGTGCACATGAAAAGCTAGTTAACGCTTAATTCCAATCACTTGTTAAAGATATCTTGTTTTAAATTTTAATTTGTTGCAATCGGTAATATTTTAAACATTGTAAAGTGCAAAACTCTAATAAATTATTTCCAATATTTTCTAAGATGAATTCAAATAGTCCAGACGGACAGATTATCTTTTAATGATCTGTAAAATTAATTTTATGAGCAGATTAGATTATGCTTTAATAAGCCATTAAAGCAGGATTAAGCTATAAATTATTTTTATTGATAATTCTTAGTATGTAGGAAAGAAACTTTAAAAACTGATATCACAATATCATTCACTAAGTTTATAAAAAACGAAAAAAGGAAAACAAGAAGGAACTGTCGGCAGTAATCATCTCACAAGTCTATTATGTTTTAAAAACACTAGTTGCTTGATGGGTTCTCACATAACTCACCCCGCCCTTATGTTACATGATATTGATCGCCTACTTAACCAACACTGGACGCTTTAACAATCATTAAACTTGCCCTATAATGCTGGCATTTGTATTGCATATTCCACATAAATAAGCGTATTTTAGTTATTAAATGAGTTTCAACATACGACGAAATAGATTACGTTCTTTATAAAGTATATAAAATCTTTGTTTATTTATTCTTTGAAATCTCGTAATTTGATAACAACTCATCGATGATAATTATTTTTGTTTATATTTTAATATCAAATTATTGTGTCCGAGAGTTTCGTAGGGTTAATCATCCTTTTGGAAGCACAAAAACACTTTGAGAATTTGACCTTGAATGAGTTTACTTTATGAGTCATAAAACTTTTTATTTTTTATTAATCTTAGATTTTAATATTTACGTTAAGGATTACAGGTGTCTGAATTATTATTTATGCAAATTTATGAATATAAGATATTGCCTTTATCAGTGGCGACTCGTGGCTGTCTAATATGGGGGTGCTGTCCCAGGAGGAAGATTGGCACACAACTAATAGAATAGTTTTGATTTCATATATTGTTTTGATCGGCGCTAGTTTTGATAAAAACATTAACTTTTAACAGTGTATAAGTTTATAATTACTGTGTATTAAAAATTGAGACATCGTTGGTAATTTTATTTTTCTTTGGGGTGCTTCACTTCAACAGGGCTTATCACGAGTGCCAACCTTAATCAAACTGTTTAATAATTTAGCATCAATTGTTGTATATAAATCTAGATAAATTTGCAAACATCAGAATAGCAAACACTTTTTAGAAAATTGCTAATGAATATTAATATATTTTAATTAACAATGTGTATTTGGATAAATGTATTAATTATTACATTTTTATATTACTAATATTTGCTCCTGATGCACAGAGTGATTCATTGCAGCAGAACATATGCAATTTTTTTCTGGCATATGTTTCGAATTAATGTTATGCAATAAATGCTGGGAACATAGTTACTGTAATCATAAATAAGTTCTATAATTAACTCTAATGTAATGTTTAATTGGCAAAACTCCAACTATTTAATATTGTCAAGTTAATAAATTGATTTTGCATTTAAAAAATAAAATATTTTTGCAAAATATAAAAATAATTCTAAAATTTTAAACTTCTTATTTTTTCATTAATAGGTAATATTAGAAAGAAGAAAAGATCAACCACTTTTCACAATACTTCTCGCAGACGACGATCAACTTGACAAAGAAATTAAACCATCCAATGCATTTGATGAGAAACATGAAAATATTTATTTACTTGTAGGAAATAAGGTTTGTTATTTATATTTATCAAACATAAAAAAACAACAGTAATAATATATATTACA